AGAAAAATACATGCGAGTTCATTAAAAAAAGTTAAGTTGAAAATGCTTTATCATTTAGTCCTTGAATAAGTACCATGCCATCTATTATAAGTGAATTGAAGGGGGGGTCACACCCCCGACCCAAAAATGAAGTTTTAGTGCGAAAAAATCTAAGAACAAATATTTGAACCGCATCTTGCTACGATGAACCGTTTTCGAGTATAAGGGTGGTTCAAAGTGACAAACGCCTAGGCTGTGACGTCACACTGGCTTCGGAGGCACAGTTGAAATATGTGTAAAATTTTCCAAGACAAAAGTCAACGATCTCACTTAAAGCAAATTGCAATCACTTAAAGTATAGGGCACGGTTCAACCACTGAACAAACAGAAGGCTATGATTTCGACGGTTAGCCGGTGTGACGTCACAAGTTCACGCAAAATTTATTTTCATGAACAATTTTCTCGGATAGTATGTTGAATGAAAGACTGCGGTTTCCACGGGAGATCTTAGATTTTTTTTCTAGATTTAAGTAGCATAAGTTGCTCTTTTCAGTCACACCCTTATTTAACATCAGTTCGAAGAGAAGCGACTGTTGAATATGGTTGAAACTTTGATAATAAATCAGACTTAGCTGTTTTTCGCATACGAACGCACAAAACTGGAAAAGTCAGAAAATGCACCTCTCGGTGAATGCACGAATAATTTTGTCGCGACGCGGTTCACGATGGGCTGAGCGCACTCCAGGGCTCTTGGATAAAAAATTTATATTCCTATAACCGTTAAAGTTAGCACCTTAATTTTTTTTTTTTAAACTTCGTCAATATTTTTACTACATTTGATTCGATATATATGTATAGAAATTTTCAATAATACACATTGCTCGCCGCAGGGTGAAGTTTAAGATGCACGATTTTGATAGTTCTATATTCCTAACTTTTTAACAAAAAAACCTTGAGCCTTTTCGAAATTTCTGAACTGTCATTAGAAGCGCTCATGTTTCAAGTATAAGTATGCAAAAAATCAGAATTTTAGATTGTATGCTTAAATTAATACAGCGGGTAATGTTTAGAAAAGCATAGTTTTTCAAATTCGAGCTCAGTCATGTTTAAGGGCCGATTTCAAAGTTCAGTCCTACCAAAAAAAGTTGTACATTCCCATTTCCTATGCCCCAAAGTGTCCTTTACAAGATGATATAGGTTTCATCTGGTTATACCTCGGAATCACCCAACCTCAGAAAACAGCGAGTTAGAGCAGTGATTTTATTCCACTACTTGGACGTCATTTCAAAAATAATTCAAACCAGTCGTCCAATCGAGTCCTGGGAGATTGTCTTTGAATCTCTCTTCAGTCAGCCCAACTTGTTGAGATATTGTTGCTCAATTTCCCTGATATCATTTGATTCTAGAGGAAACCCCCACTGTGTGCACTTTGCATATTGGGAGAGAATCCTTGATGCGAGCTTCTTGTTCCTCATTTAGCACAGGTTGGCGACCTTTTTTTATAGAGTGGATTCGGTGAATAGTGCTAAACGGCACTTCAGATTGCTTAGAAGTTTTGCGCATGGACAAGATTCCCCGTCAGACCGCCGCCACTGCTCTTTCTCCGTGAATTTTGTCGTAGGTAATTGTATTTGCCCTGAGCCCCCTACTTTTTTTTGTAGTTTCTAGGTATTTTCAGGGCCGGCTCTAGGCATTTTGCCGCCCTGGGCAATGAGTGAATTTGCCGCCCCATCCCATGGCCTGCTTAGGGAAAATGTGAGAGACCTCGAATTGTAGAAACAAAAAATAATTACACGAAACAGTAAGGCATAGCATCTTAGCAATAAAACCACATACTATATTAAAGTCTGTTTTTTTTTAAAGATAAAAGTCAAAATGACATTATGTTGGCAATACAATGTAAAATTGTCAATGCTTTCAATTTTTTTATGTAAAAAAGGCTTGTGTTGCCAACATAGTTACTAAATTTTTGACTTGGGGAATTATCTTTAAATAAAAAACAAACTTTATGTAACTTAGGTAACCACAAAAAAAAAACTTACATAACAAAACAAGAAACATAACAAACAAAGTAAGAGTCAGCCAATCCAAGATCTTGACAACAATCAACAGATACATAATATAGATAGGTATACCCTAATAGTACAGAAACGTTTCAAAAAATTATCCTATCGGACGTCAGAACGTTTTAAAAACGTCAGTGAAAATAACTGAGAATATCCAAAGGTGTATTTTTATTTGGTGCAAATGTCACTTCAAACGTCATATAGACGTCGAAAATGAGCGTTTCAAAAATGCTTTAATACGAACGCTTAAAAACGAAAAAGGACGTTTTTCAAAGATCTCTATTCGAACATTCACTGGACTTCCTTCAAAGTATCCAACACCATCCAATAGACTTATTTTATAGGTAGTGCAAATATCAAAATTACAAACAACCTTTTAAAAACGTCTTATTCGAACTAATAATTTCCGGACGTGTGAACGTGCATACATGTTTCCAACGGTGTTCCCGAAAACGACCAACAGAAACCTTTATAAAACGTCTCTCATGACTTTTCATGAAAACATACTTTCACGAACTCATAGAAAACATTCTGAGGTTCTTTAATTGTTCTTAACAGAGGTTTCGAAAACAACTTAATCAAACGTCTAAAGAACATCCTTTCTTCACCTTTTTAAAAATACTCGGACATGGACGTCATTACCACCCCAACTATCCTATCACTCATTGAAATCTACTATAGATGTACCAAAAACCCTGTATAATTGGTTCGCTGTTCGATTTATATTTCTTAATTTTTTTTAAGTCGTTGGTTTCATTTTCTATTAATTTTTGTTGTTGTTGTATGGTATGAATTTGCCGCCCCTGGATCGTGCCGCCCTGGGCGGGCGCCCATCTCGCCCCCCCCCCTTAAGCCGGCCCTGGGCATTTTAAAAGGGGGGAGGAAATAGGTGTAGTTCTCGTCGTAGTCTCCTCAACACAGTTATTCCAAATTTCCGATAAAACTAACATCAATTTACTCTCCTGTTCATTCTTGTTTATTTTTGTTTCATTTTGCAGCTGATGTATTTTACCCCCTGTTGTATTCATTTTAGGTTAAAAAAATCATATTCATGCGACCATATAAGTAAAATCAAAAAAACCTTCGGGAATATGTTGCCAACATGACTGGGCTACACTTGTTATGTTATCAGTCATATATCCGGAACACATACCTCTTTGCTCCTGCAACTAAACCTTTTCAACTTTTACCCATATCACAAAAAAGCGTGCGTTTAAAATACGTTCATCCTAGCTCTCATATTTTCGAAACCGACGGTATACTACCTCACCATCATCAGAAAAGGGCTCAAAAATAAGGAATCTGCGCATTAGAATTTGACAACCCATCCAGGTGATTCACTTTACCCGTACTGGTTTGACGGTACCATAATCCATATTAACTGTTTGCTTCGCCATCAGAATCGGTCGAATCGGACTTTTACTCCAACACATTTTCGTAATAATTGTTGCCCATTGGTCTATTGGAACAGTATAGCAGTGTATTTTTGGTATCAGTAGGAGAGCCAGCGGTTCGTCCGACTTACCCGTTTCCCATAAAGCTAGACATTTTTTTTAATAATGTTTTAATATCGGACAATTAAGAAAGTACCGTTCTGACTGGCATCTCGTGGTTGCGTCATCATCCCTGAAGTTTTTGGGAATATAATTTGTTTCAAAAAAAATCTACTCCCACAGGGCTACAATTTTTATAAGTCTTGATTAACATATGTTTAAGCGTTAAGAATTTGACAACCTATTTTAAGGGTTGCAAGTATGTGCCAGAAGACAGCAAAGTTATTATAGGATAATAATTTATAACCTGCTTGATTTAAAAAGTAAAGTGCGACAAGTGAGTGAACCTGTGTAGAAGGAATGCGGGCAGAACCCTCCTGATTGGCCCAAGATTAAAAATACATATACGCGAGTCGTCGCGTCAGGGTAACCGCAATTTTCGCAATGCACCACGTCGAGGACCCGTCGCGTCGTATAGTATAGGTTTTCGTCTTCCCCTCTGCTACTTCATGCGTTACCAAGGTTCACTCACTTGTCGCACTTTATATGTAAACATCCAGCCTATTCTGGCGGTTGGAAGTGTCTGCTATAGGAGTATATAATAGTCATGATGCTCAATAGGAGTGCGAGCGCAACAAACTTATTCGGGTTCCATAGTCAGAATGAGAGGATACGATATGACTATTATATACTCCTATGCAGACACTTGCAACCGCCAGAATATGCTGGCTGTTTACATATGCTTTTTATCAATAAAAGAATATATTCCCTCCAAATTTCAGCCTTGAGGGAGCAGGTTATAAATTTAAACCTGTTTTCCTACAAACATCTTTTTTGTTTCATTTGCAGCAACCAACTGGTCATTTTCAATTTTAGAGGAATATTCATATTCAAATATCAGAAAAAACAAAGTTAAGTTTTTCAATTCCTTTGGAAAAAATAAATTTCCCTCCAAAGCTTTCGCGAACAGTCATCCCCTGTGTTTCTTTTTTTTATTACCTGCATGCTTCAGATTCAGTCTCTGAAGAACTAGAATAGGTTTCAACCTTTCTTTTCTTTGTTTCATATAAGGTAAGCCGATTTTTGCATATTGTCAGTTTCAGCTGCTCTCTTGCTTTTAAATTTAGATTGATACTTATTTATTGTTGGAGATTTATTGGGTTAATTTGTTCATTCTCAGTGTTTGTTCCATTGGTTTTGTTCTGAAAGATATTATTCATATTTTTTCCCTATTTTCCATGTTCGGCTTAGGATATTTCATTATGCGCATTGATTAATAAATAAATAAAAAAATATTCATTGGGGTCGACAAATAGAAGTTTAATTTTTAATTACATGCTGCATGTCAAGTAATTCATCCACAAAAATGAGCATCACTAGGAAAATGTGAACTCTAAATCATCATTAAAAATTACTCCGATATCTGGACTGGGAAATAGGAAATAATAATTATAATGCATCATTAATCTACATATTTACAATAATTATTTATTATTTATCAATTATGGACGCAAATAACAATTTATAATAAATTAATCATTAATTAAATCAAATAATAATACCTAATCAATGCGTGAGGATAAAAATAATTATTAAGGATCACATTTTATTATAAAATTTAATAATATGTAATAATATTGATATTTTCAATCAAAAAATAAAAAATAGTATAGAGATGTTGTTAATTGGTACCTTCCCTGATCTAAAGGATCGTTTAGGCTGGATAATTTTACCAGGCAATTTCACTACAAACTACAATCACCCAGTAAACTTAGTCAGGGTAAAAACTTATTCAAACTATTATAATTGTACACACTTTTAACAAGACATTTTCGTTTTATACGCGGTTCTTGTGGACAAACATAAAAATGATATTTGTGGATTAGATTGAACTTTGTATGTGGTTCCATTTATTGCAAATTTATTTGCTTTTATAGAAACACCATCTTTCGCTATCTCCGTATTTTTAGTGATTATGTCCAGTATCTGTCTGATATTGTTCTAAAAACGAAAATGTCTTGGGAGGTTTGTTGGAGGGTGTTAGGAATAAATATGTATATTAATAGTTAATTATTACATATTATAGAAATATATATTTTAATCATTAATGTATTAATTAAGTACAGAAACGACCTATGAAGGCCTGTTCCAACCTTGACAAAAACCGTTTTAAAGTCACCGAGATTTAGTGTACTGTGCAAAAATCTTACTGCTCTTGAAAGGTTTTTGGCAAAGTGCAAACAAAACTAAAACAAACATCCTAGTATAACCAAGGAGCTAAATTGCTTTGTATTTCATTATAAGGTGGATTGCATTTGTACTTTGGGTTAAACAGTGACTGAATTGCAATAGTGTCGGTTTTTTACACTATTTGGAGCAATATCGCTCGCTATGTACTTAACCGTTTTTTCAATTAAAATCAGTAAAAACGGAACAATTAACTAAAAACCAAAGACACAAATGGAATAAACCCATAACCTGAAGGCACCCTATAACCTGTTTCAAATCAAATTAAAATAGGCTTTATTGTCAAATAAAAACTGCTGTTTCATTGACAAAGCTATTGAGAGAAAAATTACATATATACAAAGCCCTAAAAATGTCGCAATATACATAATTTTAAAAAAAAACTTAATATATGTATAACTAAAAACTATCCTAAACTTAAAATCGTCAATCACGCCAAGTACCTCAAACTTTAGAAAAAAAAAACAAAAAACTAGTGATGAAACGATTAACGTTATACGATTACGTTACGCAGACGATTATTCAGTGAAATTATCGAACGATTACTATAAATGACCGAAATTTCCAAAAAACTTTATTTCCTTTAAACAAGTGAATAAAAGTTGAAATAAAATAAGAACAAAGGTAGAAACGAAAACTATATTTTCATCGATAAATGCTTATTGCGTTCTTCCACATTGTTGAATTGCTCGAAACATACTCCACATTTATTTACCTAGACATTATCAGCTAGATAAGGAGCTGTAAACACTAGCTCATTTACAGCCTCTTTATCAAAGCAATAATTTTTTGGTAGTAACAATTTGGTAGTGCAGTAAATGCTTCATCAATGATGGTTTCACAATAAAACATTCACCACATTTCATGCATTGGTCATAGGTTTTAATGGTTCTGTGTGTGAACATGAAAAGTTGCTCATTGGGGGTCTGTGTAGACACATTAATGACAATGGTAGATTCCATCGAACCCAATGACTTCTTCTGCTGTTAGGTCGTGGACGATTTAAGGCTTTTTGGGTAAAACAAAACTACTAACACTGCCAGAGTTTTCACTCTACATTTGTTGTATTTTCTTTATATCCAGTTTCTCTGATACACTTCGAGATGATGAAAATTTAGATTCTTTCTCATGTTTCTCTTTATCATTCAGTTCTATGAAGTAATACAAGGCGCAAAATCATTTAGAGGCAGAATTTTGGTAAGGATTTGAAATGCATTTTTCTCAAAAATTAACAGGTTTCGCATTTGAGATGATTTTCGTAGAACATCTTTCGCATTTACCCTATGCATATTTGGAAGATACAAACTTGGAACTGAAAAGGGTAGAAGGATTTGAACGGCGTGAACGGGCTCGGGCTGGTAAAACATGTTTATGGACTTTACAGTTGCACATATAGATGTGAATATAACGACATGGATTATTACAATGATTCTCAATATTCTTTTTTATTTCGGACATTGTCATTGCATCAGTCAAATTTCAAAAACTACGTCTTATTAAAACTAAGCAGTTTGCATAAACAGTGAAATAATCAGTGTATGTATGTGTATATGGTGGCCTAAACTTGTATGGTATGACGCCCACCCATAACTATTTATTGACGCCGAAAATAAAGTCACTAGATTTTCCGCCAGATTGTTATCGATACTAGTGAACTTTAGACTGATTCTTATGTCAATGCACTCAATGCACAAGCGTCCAAACAGCTGTCGTCCTCCAGACCAGAATAAAACGCATTTTTTGATAAATATGACTGGTACATTGGCGGCAATAAATCTCAAGTCACTCCAAATGAGTAACAAGTACCAGCAACTGTAAAGTCCACAAACATGTTTTACCAGCCCGAGCCCGTTGAAATCCTTCTAAGAATTTGAATGTTTACTAAAACAAAGAAACAATATTAGTTGGCATTTATGTATAAACATCAATACTTGAATTTAATAGTGTTCAAGTTCTTTTTATGGAAGCTAAGAATTTTAACCTTCATCTTCCTGGGTGGGGTACAAATGTATCCCAGAAAACAATTTTTCTAGCATATTTTCCCGAAAAGTGCATATTTTTTGTAACTAATTATATTTTGTGTCAGTAAGGGCTTTAAACATAATCAGTGATCATCAAACATTTTCCATTTATTTAGTTTTTAGAAACAATAATTTCTGCATAGCGTGGGGTACATATACCCAATGGCGGCTCGTGGTATAACATATTGGGGGTGCACATAATTTGTAATTCATAATAAATGCCGAAAGGGGGATGCCCGCCGCAGGCGCCGCCGGAGGCGCGAAATTTTTCGGAGTGCCACGCCCAGAAGTGTTTATTTTAGGCCTTTAAAAAAATAATTTATTGTAAGTGATCGTATGAGTTATGTGATGTGTTTACCTACCAATAATTAAAAATATTGTTAAGGGATTTCATATCTACCCTACCAAACAACCAACTAAGCTCAATTTAATACTTTTTTCGGTCTATCAAATCGTGGAAATTGAAGGATCTTATATCAATAAACTAGAAATTAAGTAACAAAGTAACTTACCTCGCTGAGTACATCGTCCTGGTCTAACAATTGTTTTTATACATAAATGTATTATAGTTTTCAATCTCACAATTCTCACAGACACGTTTTGTATTGAAAATGAAGTCGTCTGTCCTTTTTTGAGATAAATTCTTCAATTACCAGTTCGTTAAAATTTGGAATTTCTTGAATCATTTGTTTCTCAATAGATAACATTGCGAGGGCAGTTAGTCTCTCCTGTGCCATTGTACTTGTAAGGAAAGTTTTTATCCGTTTTAATGTGGAGAAGCAACGTTCCGCTTCTGCGGTTGTCATAGGCATTGTTATAATCGCTTGAAGCACTGAAAATGTTTCAGAGAAATCTGCTTGCAAATTATTTTCAATTAAAAACTTAAGAAAGTGGACTGCTCCAGAAACTTCTCCAAAATCTCCTCTTCTGTATATTATTTCCAATTCTGTCTTTAATTTGTTTTTATTCAAAAATGGAAAGTTTCGAACTGCTGAATCTAAATGTTGCATAGGAAAATTTGATGAATACGTTTCAAAATTTTCCACTGAAAATAAGTGTGCTATTTCCAAATGGCCTGTGAATGAAAACCTTTTTTTTATTTCTGCAATTATGGTGTCACACAGTTCTTTAGCTTGTACAGTCGTGGAAACATAGGAATTTCTCTCATCCATCTTTCTTCTTTTCCTAGCTTGACTCTCATCAATATCTGCTAACTCGATTTCTCTAATAGTATGTATATTATCTCTTTCTTTTTGGATATTTTTTTCAAACTCAGTAATGTTACGTTTCACAGTTACGGAATCAGTTGCCCTTTTTTGTAGCTGTGAATATAAAATATCAACGTGGGGCATTACACGATGAAACACTGTTAACCAAAAAACAAATTTACGGTCATGTAATAACCTTAAAAGTGCACCTGCCTTTCTGATGGTATCAGATTGTCTGGATGTAGATTGTATTTTTTCCATACACTCTAGAAGTGATTCTTTGTTTTCATAAACAGTGTTAACGGTTCTGATTTTGAAGTTCCACCTTGTAGTAGATGCTCTAGGAACCCTATTTCCAACCACTTCATCTAATATGGCCACTCTTTGTGGAGAATTTGAAAAAAAATTGGTAATGTCACTCAGATCTGCAAAAAATATACGTACATTTGCATTTATGCTTGTCGCCTGAGACATTATTAAATTCAATTGATGCGCATAACAATGAATATAATGGGCATATTTAAATTTATCTTTAATAAGCTTCTGCACACCACCATGGGCGCCACTCATGACACTTGCTCCGTCATAGCTTTGGGAGATTAACTGATCAGGATTTTTTAAAACATAATTTAAAGATTCTTCTATGCAGCCAGCTAAAGCAACAGCATCGTGATCATTTGGTTTTATAAAAGTCCAAAATCGTTCAACAGGTGTGCCGTTTGGTAGAGTATAACGGTAAACTATAACCATTTGGAAAATATTTGAAATATCACTTGTTTCGTCACTCATAACGGAAACAAAATTTGAAGAAGCAATTTCTTTTTTGATATTTGCTTGACAGACCGAAAGCATACATTCCAGTAAGTCATTTTGAATGTCTTTTGACGTGCCTTTAAACACGGTGGCTTGCTGCAAATGATCCCTCAGTGCTAAGTCCAATTCGGCAGAAAAATTTATGAGGCCTCTAAATATACCTGGGTGCAATGAATCTTTTTGTTAATCGTGTCCACGGAGAGCAAGTTCAAAAGCACCACAAAATTTAATGCAGTTGATAATTTTAGATAAGACATACCGATTATTCTTTACTTGCTCGTTATGTTTCTCAATGCTTAATCGGTATGCACTATTTAATTGCTGCCGAATATCTTGTTTGCCCAATAAATTAAATCCTAGCTTAGCAGTAAGATGTGATTTTGAGTTTTGATGTTTTTTAATTTTTTCGGATAAATGTACTAAATCTTTAACGCCGGATTTTGTCCATTCTGATGCTTCATCGCTTCCAAATAACAAACAGGGAAAACAGTAAAGACTATTACTAACATCACAACCGCACAACCAGTCAGTTTTTTCGTAAGTTTCCATTTTAAAAGTTCGTTTATAATCACGACTTTTGCATTTTGTTATGTTGGTGATTATTAAATTTGGCTTTGGACGGCCGACACATTTGATTTGGATTTTTTCCTCCAAAGAAAGCGAAGAAAATTTAATTGTTTTTAAATATTGCACGCTAAGGCTATCGGGGTTCAGAAATCCGCCATTCTACACACAGTTTTCAGTTAAATCGCGCTCGAAATCGAAATAAATATAAAACAACAGGTTCCGATCCCAAAGTGCACTGACTACATGTGCACACCAGCCAGCTTAAAACATCGAACGTCGCTGGACCTTCGCGGGGAACAAAGAGTGCGGGGGGGCATAGTTCCACCAATTGGATTTAATATTGAAATGTGCAGTGAACGGGCCGATCCAGGCGACGCGGTGGACGCTGTGATTCCAGCGTTGCCGGTTGCGTTTGTTTTGCTGGCGCATTTGGCCACTAATTTTTTAAATTAATACTTTACAGGTAGAATGTTAAAATTTGAAGAATGATAAAATTAAATTTAAAGTTGTTTGATATTAATTTGGGAGTGCACGTGCACATGTGCTCTTATGGAGGAACCGCCACTGCATATACCCCAAGTGGAAATCTGTGGCTACTGTATTAAGAAGTCACCTTGCAGGAAATTTGCAGGTTGGAAAAATTTAGAAATCACTGGTCAAGAAATATCTGTTGAGCAGGAAGAGAACGAAAGTTTACGGGAAGTAGAAGGCAGAATCTGATTTATGAATCGAAAGATGGCACGCAATGGTCGAAAATACCATTTCCTAACTATTTTTTTTCGCTAACTGTACTCTTGTTATAGATTGATTTTATCTATTATAACTGTTCGGTATAAATAAAAACATGTTTGATTATCAGAAGCATCATTTTTATCATGGGGTACAAATATACCCCACGTGGGAATCTACGTAATTTTTTTTGTCATAGTAAGACGAAGGTTTTAAAAAAATAATCGTATAAGATAATCAGCAATTATGGGTAATCGTCACAACTTGATAATCGCAGGATGAATCTTTATCGCAATCGTAATCGTTTCATCACTAAAAAAACCTATAACCTGATGAAACAAACGACAAGCAATGCAAAAAATAGAGCATTGGGAATTCAAATAGTCATAAGTTATATCACATACATTTTAACATCCTAGTGCAAAACTTTGTAAAAATTCACAGAGTCAAAAATTCTTTGAAAATATTTTTTTTAAAGAATTTTCGTCGGCGTGTATTTTAAAAGAAATTTTGCAGAAAAATGTCAATTTTTTTTAAAAATACCTATTTACCTCGAGTGGTCTATGTATGTAAGGAAATATCCCCAAACCGTTTTGATTCCATTTGAAATTCTTGATAACTTATGAAATTTTCGATTAATTAAACTCCTTGACAACAGCAGGTGGGGCGGGATATATTCGCGGCAAAATTGCTAGGTGAACAATATTCACTATAATTGGTTAGAAATGACTCGAGGTATATAGTCAAAAGAAAAATATAGATTTCAGCTATACACAAACAACAATCTAAAGCAATAATATGAATAATAATTATTCGATCACTTAACAAGAGTCAGTCATTCCCAGAGGGCGATCGGGAAATTGTTCACCTCTGTTTGTTCTTGCACTGGGTTTCCGTCGATTGTATACGATATACGTATCCTCATTTTTAATGCAGTCTGAAAAAGAAAAAAAAATGATAGGTATCTGTATAAAATATTATTTTAGATAGCAGATGTAGTGAGCTTTATCTGTTGGTGCAAACTCTAACAGAGCTATGTGCTACGCATTTGTGTTCTAGAAGTATGGCCCGCTTCAGTAGGAGTAGGTGACTTTAAATTGGATACTACGTTTTGACTGTCAGGCTGAGATGACCTTATATGTCATAATGATAGCGACAGATTGAATTGGAATTACCATTTTTGGAATCAAGTTCAGAATGACAAATGACATTTAATAACCAAATCTTGATATGTCCATTATTTTATCATTAATCTCTATTTTCAAAATTCAAAATCTCTTTATTTCAAATAACATGGAGTATAAACAGTTTTGAGTACAGACTATAAATTAAGTGAAACAGTCCCGAAGGGCAACATTTCAAGTTATAATGTTGCACCAAAGTAATCATTTAGATTGTATGGTTCTAGGTCTATTAACAATTTTTTCACTTTCCTTTTGAAACTATTTAGACTATATACTGTTTTAAAACTATCTGGTAGTTTGTTGAATATTCTTATGGACATATATGATGGATTTTTTTCTGTTAAGCTGGGTTTATACAGGAAATAAAATAACATAAAATAAGAAATAAAATAAAATTAAAAGATGGCCTTATGAGAACTCATGGTAGCGTTTATACACAAAAATAAAATAAGATAACAAATAAGCAAAAATAAAAAGTTGGTTAACTTTTAACTTCTCATCTTATTTTATGTGAAAATGCTATTTGCGCATGTCACGACGTCGATTAGATTAGACCGATGACAGTTCAGGCGCGTGGTGATTGGTTCAAAATAATTCTAATTTTATTTTATATTTTTCTGTATAAACGCCTTATTTCTTATTTTGCTTATTTGTTAGGTTATTTCTTATTTTATTTTATTTTATTTCCTGTATAAATCCAGCTTTACTGTCAGTATCGATTGGAAACACTGAATTTTGTCTTTCTGGATTTAACGTGGGTTATAGGACTTGACACAAAGAAAACTCAATTTTCACTTGACAAATAAACTAAATAGCTACTAACAAACAGAGAACATCTACGGTAAAAATAACAAGTCTTTACACACCATAGGACAACAGGAAACACACCTCATTAAAATTATGGGTTGGTAGAACATAATCAAATTAAATAATTATGATTTATACACAAAAATATACAGCAATATTTAAAACAATAATTAAAATAATAACAATTTATCCCTTGTCAGTTGGGTTGTGCTTTCTTTTTAGCTCATCAGTGTGAATATTTCCACAACCAAAGGACCCTGGCTGAATTTTGTACATAATGTAGATCACCCCTTTTTGATTAAAAGTTACCACTGCACCAATCCTGAAAAATGACTTTACGTAGCACACCACTGCGCCACGAGGTTACCTTTTCGTGCTACATTGAACGTCCATTACGATGTCCAAGCGTTTTATTTACTACCTATGAAATTAATGTTTTCAAAAAGGAATCATTTTTCAGGATTGGTGCAATGGTAACTTTTAATCAGAAAGGCTTCATGTACATTATACAGGGTGTCCCAAAAACATACCGACAAACTTTAAGGGGTAGTAGGAGACATCAAAATAAGCATTTTTGTTTATATAAACATATGTCCGCAAATGAGCCATTTGGGCTGTAGAGCAAAAAAACTGTTTGGTACTTTTATTCTTCGCAATAATTAAATCATTGTTTATTTCGCTTTATTAACAAATAAATTATGGTTTATAATAATTGTTCAAAATGTTGACCATTTACTTCAATGCAAAGATTACACCGTCGGGTCATTGACTGAAAACTTTAGTCTACGAAACACCTGTTCGTAATAAGAAAGATCTGTTAGCAAGGATACTGGCGAGTTGTACCCTAGACGCTATTCCCGGAATATTCCAAAGGGTTCGCGAGTCAATGACCCGACGGTGCAATCTTTGCATTGAAGTAAATGGTCAACATTTTGAACAATTATTGTGAACCATAATTTATTTATTAATTATGGTTATAGATGGAGACCCTGTCTTCATTTTACTTGCATAATTTATTTGTTAATAAAGCAAAATTAATAAGTAAACAGTGATTTAATTATTGCGAAAAATAAAAGTACCAAAAAGTTTTTTTGCTCTACAGCTCAAATGGCTCATTTGCGGACATATGTTTATATAAACTAAAATGTTTGTTTTGATGTCCCCTACTACCCCTTAAAGTTTGTCGGTATCTTTTTGGGACACCCTGTATACAACATTCAGCCAATTCTGACATAAACACAATTTCCGTATACTTTGAGCAGGGTGCTTTAAACAAATGTGAGTGTATCAACAGTACCACAGAGTACCTACACCTATATAAATTATTCAAATTATTATTCATCGTTTAGTCGGTTGGTGGCCTTTGTAAAGTTGTAACATATTACTATATACGACACTAAGACTCTGTGTGTCAGTTCTGAGGTTCACACAATCATTTAGATTTATGTATTATTCTTCTTGTGTAATTTGGTCCAGTAATTGGAGCCTTCTCAAACAGGAATCCATGCCCTGTGTCAAAATGGTATTGGGCTAATGCTGATTGTTCTGGTTTATATCTTCTTTCATTTCTACAATCTCTTCGATGTTGTTGCATACGTTTGTTCAAGTACTGTTTGGTCTGTCGAACATAATATTCACCACATTCACAAGGAATTGAGTAAACAATATTGGATCTTTTTTCCTGTGGAGTTGGATCTTTAAAGTACGTATAGAGATATTTGGTGGTATGAGGAGTGTAGAATGCCAGCATGGTGTTTATACCCTTGAAGCATTTTTTTATTTTATGTGACAAACCTTCAATGTAGGGATTTTGAAATATCTTTGATCCTTGTCGCTGGTTTCATTATGGTTAAATTCCTTTTTATGCTTAAACTTATTAATGTTTCTTTTTATAAAGTTAATGGGGTAGTTGTTTTTTTCTTAATATTAGTTTAATTATTGTCTAATTTGTTTTAATTATTGCTATATATTTTTGTGTGTAAATCTTAATTATTTAATTTGATTATGTTCTACCAACCCATATTTTTAATGAGGTGTGTTTCCTGTTGTTCTATGGCGTGTAAAGACTAATTGTTTCACGAGTAAGTTATTATTTTGTTATTTTTACCATATATGTTCTCTGATTGTTAGTAGCTACTTAGTTTATTTGTCAAGTTATATAGACTATTTTGACCTATGAGACCCATTTTAATAGTTTGTTTGTACGTTTTAGAGTTTGAAAAAGTACTAATATATGTACGAAAAGTTACCAAGTGAAAATTGAGTTTTCTTTGTGCCAAGTCCTATAACCCACGTTAAATCCAGGAAGTAATTTACCAGGACACAAAATCAACATGAATAATAAATCTTGTGTCCGAGTGTTATATGTAGTATTACAATTATTGTTTCGTGATAAATTGTGACTTATTTTTATATAGATACATTAAACATTCATACAAATAAACAGCATATACAGTGAGAATATTTTTTTCCTCAAACTTGTCCCTACAAGATTCCCTAAAATATAATTTATTAATTTACCTCAATACTCTTTTCTGACATAGAAATATTTTTTCTAGATTTTGGTTATTTCCCCAAAAAATTATTCCGTATTTGATTACTGACTCAAAATTCGCAAAATATAATGTCCTTGGTGTCTGATTATTTAAATATCGTAACAAAGTTCTGATGGCATTACCGCAAAACATATCTGGCTCATTTATTTTGATAGTATTTCTGTATGTTCATGTCTAAAAATTTGTCCATATGTACTCCTAAGAACTTTGCGGGAATGATATTTCAATCTGATGGAGGTTCAATGAACCAATTTTTTCTTTTTGTGAGTGTGTTGTATCAAATATTACCAATTTAGTTTTTTTTTTATTAAGAATTAATTTATTTTCATTGAACCAGGATTTTGTCTTGGAGATTATTGTATTTACTTTATGTTCTATTTCTTGTGCAGTTGTGGCCCCAGTCACAAGGTTGGTGTCATCAGCAAAATTTAATCTACTTCGCATAAGTCATTCAAGTAAATAACAAATAATAGTATTGGACCCAGTACACACTACTTTTTAATATTTTTGATTTTTTGACATCATTTCCGTCTGCAATGATTACACGAAGTGTTCTGTTTGAAATATAAGAATATGTATATCCATTTATTTGCATTACCCCTAATTCCATATGTCTCAAGTTTCTCTCTCATATGCTCTTTCACTTGCTTTCATTTTCCATACAATAATATTATTAAAGCTCAATTGAATCAATTTATATATTTATTTCCGTAAATGCAAAGGCAAGAATATGGAAGTGTGACAGTTCGAAAGGGTGACCGCAGTGTGAACCGTGGTCTAGAAAATTGATAACATCAACATCTCCGATGATGTCATCAGCTCTGATTTGAAAATGTGAAGTCAAAAGTAGTCAAGACGTTTGTATCTGATTTGAAATCGCCTAATATAGCAGACCTATTTGGGTTAGTTGAGTAAGCGCACTTTGGTCCACTTGAAATTTGCTCTGATATCTCCGCTTGTTTCTCTAATTCACTATTTAATGTAGGTTTTATAGGTAGGAACTCAAATATGCATGATATTATTTCCCAATCACTGGAGCTTCCTTCACAAAATCTGATTATTCCAAACGAATGCTTCCGACTTTTTTGAGAACAGTTTTGGCTTAAGGACATTTTTATTATCTGCTGGTAATAAGTTATATAGGTACCTTTGGAATTACCCAAGCGTCTTATAAAATTCGCTTTAACATTGTGGAACTTGTAATATATGGAAGTGGGTATTCTGACAATATGACACAATAGGCTGTGCTTCGCGGTGTTTATGATCAAAACAACCAATGAGTTGAAGAGCATAACTCAAATTTACATTTTTTTGTATATTTGTGGGACACAAATGATCTTTTTTATAATTATTTTTAAGAATTTGTTTTGAACTATTTGTAAAGGCCTCAGATTGTGATACCATTAAGGTAAAGTACCCAGTTATTGACAGGACATAAGAAATTATAGAGGTTATAAGCTAACTCAAATAGCTTATAGTATAGTTGGAGCCATCTTGCGTGTTATAGCTGATGCATGGATTTGAAATCACAAGTTTTTTCAAAATGGTGGCAAGAAGTAGTAAACAGATGCAATTGTTTGAACTTTTTTCCAGATTTCTAGTGAAAGTAGTTAAGAAGATATAAAAACAAAAGTTCTCAAAGCTAAGGTAGGGTTGATAATTTATGAATAATATATATTAACTTTATAATAAGATACATTGTAATATATATTTATTATTGTTTTTGTGGTGCCCATATAGGGCACACCCTGTATAGTTATTATTCTAAAATTACTTCACCATGTCTATAATATTGGGTTTGCGTTCGCTTTTCACCTAATTTTAATTTACTATTGTCCATTTTTTACACAACCTCTTGGTAAAACGTCCATATTTGTATACGTAATTTCCAAATATCTCTGGTAATTTCATTAGGCACCCCTAAAAAAAATGCTAAAAGAGAATTTTCTTCTTCCTCAATCTTCCTTCGTCTTTTTTTAGACATCTTGCTATTTATTGTAGTTATATGGCCTTCGTGTACCAGTCCCTTTTAACTCATACTGTGATAGGTACTTTATGGGAGAGACTCGCAGGGTCTTAGGGCAGGATCGCCATGTAATGGGTTTCTACTATAACCCTTTGGATATTGGGTAACCCGCAGGATCGTTCATCCGAGGACTTAATAAAAGACGTGTTGTTGCTTAGAAGTTCTGTATTAGATTCGTTGTCAAAATATGTGTTGCATTACCAACTGGGTCAGTGTGACCTGCTTATTCAGCACATTAATATTATATTGGTTTAGCAATTACAGTAAATAATAACTATACAGGGTGTGCCCTATATGGGCACCACATTTTATCTCTTAAATAACGGGCATAAACTTTTTAAGGGGGGGGTGTCAACTATTGGAGCCCAAATCGAGGGGTGATCCAAATGTTGACACTAGTGTCAACTTATGGATTTTTGGCAGTAAAAATATTTCAACATTGCAGTCTGTCTCTTTTTATTGCTCTGGATTGAAAAGAAACCTAGATATGGGTTTGGGGAATGTGACGGTAGTAGATCCAATAGATGACACCCCTCTCATCCCTGTCAATGTTTGGAGCCTGAGAGTGTCAACAATTGGTCCTTCCAGGTTTAAATCAAGAGATGGCTTATGAAAAATGGAAATTGCTGAAATATGCACCAAAACTACCTGAAGACATAATTGCTGCGTTGGATGATTGCGATAGGGGGCTTACTGTAGCTACATCAGCAAAAAAACACAATGTACCAATGCTTTCTAAGAAATTTCTTTTATTACCAATTTGGAATTGAAATTTGTATTTTCTTCCCAACAAAAAGTTTCCCAATGTTATTTTTTATTAATAAAAATATGTTTCTACCAGAATTTCCTCTGATACGGCAACATGTCAACTATTGGTTTCAAGAGTGTCAAGTAATGGAACCACAACATGTTAAAAATTAAAATAATTGGTCATTATATGCATATATTTCATTTAAAAAATTATACACTTAGAAAAATATACTTCTCAGTTCCACAGACCGTGATAAAATTCCTTAAAAGTAAATATTTGGTTTTGTAAAAAAATATATATCAAGCTTTGGACCAAAACTGTGTCAACTTTTGGCGAAGTGAACTTCTTGGGTGTCAACTATTGGAGTTTTATCACCTTTCAGGTATTTTTGGCATAATAACACAAATAATAGGAATAAAGGGTAAATAATATATCTAAACATTTAATTATGAGTTTGAAATCACGCCAAAAAATATATCAAAGCCTTGGGTTTGAATATTTAGAAAATGTGTGGTGATCATAAGCAAGGATACCCTTAACATGTCAACAATTGGGTACTTTACCTTATGCCAACACTTATTCCCCCAGACTGTAATACAGTGTGATCACCATGTTTGTCGACAAAATATTTCGGAGGATATGAAACCCATAGGTCAGAGTTCTAATTTTCTTAATCTGATATTCAGCATGAACATTTCATTAATACCTATTTCTATGTGGTCAAAAAGAGGACGACTTAGAACAACTTTAGTAAGGGCTATGATTTTTTTTTTCTAATCTTAAGGGGTGATTTGAGTTGAGCCACTTTTAAATCTTTTCAAGGGTAGTTAGTGAACCTTATATTTTTTCTTCCCAGATGGAGCCACTGTAAATGATGGCCGAGTCATCGGCATATCGCTCCTATGTCATTAATTGAGTTAATAAATAAATTAAATAAAATTGGACCAAGGACTTTTCCCTACTGTACCTGCATCTGTATAATATTTATTTACTTACTTGTCCCGGATTGGTCACTTTTAATACCTGCGTCACCACACCATTTGGGTCTAAAGTCGTGCCAGATGGTGGAAGCATTTGAATTTGAAATGTCTGCAAGATAAAAACATTTATTAGTCGGCTGCGGAAAGTTGACAAAAAAATTAATAGCTTATCACATAATGTTTTATTCTATATGTATAGAAACAGTTTTTGTTCAGAAAGCTGGAAAAATATGCTCACCAGTATTAGTAAATTAATAATATGAATCTTCTAAATTTTGAAATCATAAGATGCCATGCCAATACTGTCAATGTTAAGGGAAGTAAGCTTAAATTGCTTAGGTACAAAAAAAAAAAAAAAAACAATGGAAAAGAAAAATAGCCCTTAGGAATGAACGCTAAACAAGTTCTTTTAGAGCTATAGAAACATCTTGTTTATGTGTATATGATAATATAAGAAGGATATACACACATTTTTTAAAACAATCAGTAGGATACTGTTACAGAATTGCATCGAGAGCCTGGTCAGATTCTAAGAATACAGTTGTTTACGCCTAGAGCGCGTCTATTCTGAGAGTTCTATTGTGATCAAATAAAAAAATCCCAGGTAAATCCCGGATAAAGTCTCGTCTTAAAAAGCACGTAGTGAGTCAGTCAATCTAATTCAGTTTCAATAAGAGTGTTGTTGTAGTCAGTTTTAGTTTGAGGTTTGTTGTGTACGTTCAGCTAAGTCATATGTGAATTTTTATTCACAGTCAGTTTGTTCAATAAAAGTCGTCAATGTTTGTGAAGTGAGTTTTAGTGAACCCGGAATCCGTGATATTTGGTGACTTGTTGAATTGTTGTATTGTTATTATATGGTAGAGTTACTCCTATTCATAAATCAGGAGATACAAGTCTGATAAGTAATTACAGGCCAGTTACCGTTTTACCAGTGCTCTCAAAAATATTTGAAAAAATATTACATAAACGAATTTTTAATCATGTCAAACATGTTATTCTGCCTCAACAACATGGGTTTCAAAAAGGCAAATCAACAACAACCAATCTTAGTGTGTTTACGGAGTTTTTGGCTAAACATGTAAGCAGTGGCCTAAAAGTTGATGTTGTGTGCACGGACCTAGCGAAGGCATTTGACAAGGTGTGCCATGATGTCCTTATAAAGAAACTGAAGCAATTCTCATTTAGTGATAATCTGATTAGTTATTTGGTCTCATACATTGGCAATAGGCCTCAAACTGTCAAATTTGAAGAAGCTAACTCTCAGAGCTATGTGGCCGTGTCTGGGGTACCTCAGGGATCCGTTCTTGGACCGCTGCTCTTTGTGTTGTTTGTTAATGACATATCTAATTATGTGGGTAGTTCAGAGTTTTTACTATATGCAGATGATCTAAAGATCTTCAAAATTATTGAAAACGAAAATGATGCAATACTTCTACAGAGGGATGTAGATAAAATCCTATCTTTCTGTGAAGATAATAGGCTGTCACTAAATATTGGTAAATGTAAATGTATTAGCTTCTGTCGTAGTCAAAATCTTATTTTAAATGACTATAAAATTTGTGATGTCAAACTAGATCGAGTTCAAGAAATTCTGGATCTAGGTATATTATTCTCAAAAAATCTATCTTTTGCTCGTCATATCGAGAAACTTCATGCTGATGCTATGAGGAAGCTGGGATTTGTGATGAGAACCTGTAATAACTTTAAAAATTCAAACATTTTCTGCTTGTTATACAATTCATTAGTTCGATCAAAGCTAGAATATGCCACAGTAATCTGGAATCCTGTAACTTATGTTCATACAGACTTAATTGAAAAAGTTCAGAAAAAGTTTTTAAGGTATCTCTTTCTAAAAAAACATGGTTTTTATCCAAGCTTCCCACACCTTATATCATATCGGACGCAATTAGAGGAATTTGATGTAGTGGAGTTGAAACCTCGTAGAAAATTTTGTGATATTAATTTTATCTATAATATTCTAAATAACAATATAGATGTATGTACCTGATGTAAGGTTGAGGCAAAGAAACATTACTTTTAAGGTACCTAATTTGTCTACTCCTTTAAATAGATGTCTGAAGAGTATCAATCAATTTGTATTAGATAATAGTGATATTGATATATTCTTTAGTACAAAGACTCAACTTTATGGGGAATTTTATAATAATTTTTGATGATATTTTTTTGTGATACTTTTTATTATTTTTTTTAAATTTGTTTTGTGATTTTTTATGATTTTTTGTAATAATTTATTATATGCTTAAGTCATTGTTTGTAGTATGTATTTGTATGCTACAATAGGTTTACTAAACTGTACTTTTTTTAAGGATGTGGAAATCTGTTATTTGTGCAGTATAAATAAAGATCTGTTATTATTATTATTATTATTATTTTTAGGCGCAACGACAATCAGTTGTATTTATTTTAATAAAAGTTAAATTCATCAGTTAAAATACAAATAATTGTGTTATTATTGATAAAAGCGTTAGCAGTGTTCACAAGCTATCGAAGAAAATTATTCAGACATCGTAGGTAACTTACAAACAACAGTTCGAGACTGTCACGACGGCTTAAGGTCAATTCTCACTTGCTTCAGTCAGCTCCGCGACGCGAAACGACGCCGTGCTGCAACTTGTCGCTAGATTAATATTTCATTGTTTTAAATGAATAGATTCCCACCTGCACTGTACGACACTTTACATTAAAACCAATGAAATATTTATCTAGCGACAATTTGCAGCGCGGCGTCGTGTCACGTCGCCGAGCTGAGTGAAGCGTAAGTGAGAATTGACCTTTATGGTTGGACCTCTGATGACATGGCTACAGACTTGATTGTAGCATTACATAGCCCTGCCTTAGACCTATTAGAAACTCTCCGCCTATCTCTGAACAAAACTATGGTTCGATTGTTGATGCGAGAGAGCGTCGCTAGGAGGATCAACACCGACGGCAGCTTTACTAGGTACAGCTAAATAAATACAAGACCACAGAAAGCTGCAGGAAGCCTACAGCCGATATCCGCTGTCTAGTTAATTTGGCCCACCCAGAAGCAGCAGCAGAAATGCGAGAACAACTAGATGGATTCACAGAGAATACTGCTCATAACCAAACCATCAAGTAGTAGCAAAGCTATAGCTAACGCCTTAGAAATCGAGGCGTCCTATAAGGTATCCAAAGTAAAGATCAGACCTGTGTCCATATGAGAAGAAAAAAAATATATCAGAAATGTTTAAACAGTCGATGAAGGAACAAGAATTTCCTCAGAATTGATCCCCGTGAAAGAGTTCCTGTTGAAAATTCGATATGATGCGGATCAAGAACGGACTTCCGAACAGCTGGGGAAATGATCAATTGGAAGAAAAATCTGGCAAGCGAAGAAAGAAAAACCAGGAACAAGTGGATTGTTGGAATACGACTGCTGATCCAGAAGGTCAAAATGATCCTTCAAAAAGCCGCTCTACCGTTTCCCACAAAAAAGAAATACTACAAGTGCTATGACAATCCGTGAAGGCGCAGATAAGGCGATTGGCAGCATCAGGGAACAGGTAACTTCTTTTCTAGTGCCCGAGACGTCAGTCTAAGGAAAGAAGAGTCACATAGTCGTGAGGATAGATCTGGAAAGTTAGGATGGCGGAGCGGTCTAAAACGCTGTCTTAAGGTCGCAGCACTTAGACTGGCATAGAGAAGTTAGGCAAATGAATAGATGGACTCGTTCTGGATTTGAGTGGAGGTATAGACGTAGATGACAAGGTGGTACATCTTGACAGAGTCAGATCGATTTGAGAGGGAGGCAGTTTCACAAAATTGTATCGGGAGCCCGGCCAGATTCTAAGGATTGAATTGTTTAGTCTAGAGCTCGTCTATTCTGGGAATTCTAGTATATTCAAATAAACAAAATTCTACCTAAATCCTGAATACAATGGCTACGTTCACCAAAACCAAAACGGATTGTAAACAGTTTACACATACCAACAGAATATGTTGGGTAAATTCTTGGTTCTGCTGAACGATTCAACTTTCCGATGATAGAACGCCACCTTCTGAATGACAGCTCACCACACAAAGCACAGTGTTGAAAATTATGAACACTCTGAAATTATGCTTGCAAAAATGGCGACCGTTTGCAAAACATGTTTGGTTTCAACGTAGCGTTCAGCAGAACAATCGCAAACCGTTTACCAACGTTTGTATCTGGTGAACGCGGCCAATGTCGACTATAAATAGCGAGTAGTGAGTCAGTCAGACAGTTCAGCTTGAATAAGAGGGTTGTTAAATTCAGTTTTGATACGAGATTTGATGTGTACATTTTGATAAGTAACAAGTGAATAATTATAAAGTCAATTTATTTGTTCAATAAAAGTTATTACTGTTTGTTAAATGAGTTTTAGTGAACCTGGAATCCGTGAAAAGACCTTACCCTAGGAACAGCTGCTTGAAAGAGGAAGTCAGTCATCGGCGACACAGAGTTATTGCTGGAGGTTACACTTATTGTAACGGTGGCACCGTTGTGTTCTCTCACGTCATCAAACGAAAAAACAATTTGCAATCCGTCTTTGTCAAATGCTGTCATAGGAGGTATACTATTGCTTGCTGGAACCACGGTGCTCTCTATTGGGGCACTAGTAAAAAGGTCATCTAAAAAATGGGGAAGTTTTAACTAAAGCCAGTGTTTTTTCATTTTATCAAATTAAATATTCCTTATTATTTAGTTTGATTCATTATTTACCAGTGAGAAAATTCGAATTCGGGCTATTGATTACTGTAGCGGCTAAGGGTGACTGGGCCATATTGTTTGCCAGATTATTATTGTCTGAGATGAAGCCAGCCATATTATTCGTGGTGTCGTTGACAGCGCTGTTGTCGCTCAATGGTCCTAATCCCAAAAGATCCAGCAGGTCCTGGTTGTTGGAATTATTTGGAGGTACAGAAGACAGCTTCGAGGGCTCCACGGAGGAATACGACGAAGGTTTAATAATGTCGAGAACGTCGCCGCCAAGAAGATCCAATAAAACGTTCTGCAAATAGTAAAAAATAAAAATTGCTAACGATTTCAATATAAATTTTTATATGATGCTTATAGATAAAAAAGCATAAATAATTAGGAACAGAAGTATACACTGTGCAAAAAGTATAAAATTATTTTATTTATTTATTTATTTATTTATTATACGGGATAACCCCATTAACAGCAAAATTACAACAAAAAATAATAAATTGGTTAGGTATATACATTATAAAATCTGCAGCAAGTAAGCGTTAACACTAAAAGAAAAACAAGAAACAACAAAATTTAAACTTAAGGAAAAACAATTAATTAAAGACATATACCTATGTAAAGGGCTGTTAACCCCATATGTTGTCCTATGGAAAGGAATATGGAACACATTATTGTTGCGTAGACCCTGATAATATGGTACATTTAAACCTACATAATTCAAGAGATCTGGGCTGTCAATCAAGCCATTTACAATTTTATAAATAAAAACGGCACCAAACACATCCCGGCGATTTCCCAAAAGACTTAGGGATAGTTGACGCTCAATATTATCACAGTCATGGTCAATGATTGTAGGAAAATTATACTTAAAAGCACATATTCTCAAAAATTTATGTTGCACTCTTTCCAATAATGAAGAGTGAACATGAAAAAAGGGAGACCACACAACTGAACCATACTCTAGCACTGACCGCACTAAAGAGCAGTAAACAAGCCTCACTGACTCAACAGAAAAATACCTGCAGTTTCTATCAATAAAACCTAACATTTTTGACCCCCTTATACTTATTGAGATAACATGCTCAACAAATGACAATTTCTCATCGAATATAACGCCTAAATCCGCAACGGATGATACATACTTAAGTTGTTGACCTTCTATTGTATAATTTGTTCCGATTCTGTTTGGTTTCCTTGTGAAACTTATAAAGCAACATTTCTTTACATTCAAAAATAATTTCTTTGACACGCACCATTCTATCACACGATCTAAATCTTCTTGCAGCATTTGCTGGTCGCAAATGATCTCAATAGTTTTCCAAAATTTAATATCGTCTGCAAATAGCAAGCATAAACTATACAAAAAACAATCAACAATGTCATTAACAAAAATATTAAATAGCAGTGGCGAACAATGTCCACCCTGCGGTACTCCTGATGTAACATAGATAATATCAGAGAAAAAACTGCCAATCTTAACCTGTTGAACACGGCCCCTCAAAGAACTCTCAAACCATAGAACAAGACCAAAGTTGAAACCAAACTTTTGTAGTTTTTGAAGCAATATGATGATCAACTCGATCAGAAGCTTTCGAGAAGTCTGTGTAAATCGCGTCTATTTGCTTCCTGTTCTCCATGCTAAGTAAAATATCAGACTGATAAGTTATGAGGTTGGTTGCAGTTGACCTGCCCTCTGAGAAGCCATGCTGTTTTTGAGAAATAAAACCCTTGCACTGCCAATGCAATTGTTTTCTAACAAGACAGTCAAACAGTTTAGGTATAGCTGATTGGATACATATAATGCGATAGTTCTCCACACTGTCCTTTTTACCGCTCTTGAATATTGGAACAATGTGACTAACTTTCCATTTGTCAGGAAATGTAGATAACTTCAAAGACTTATTATATAGTAAATGCAAAGGCAGCACAATGGTACAGACACATTGTTTTAATAGAAAATTTGGTATTCCATCGGGTCCAGAAGTAAGTTTATTTGGCAGTTTGCTGATCTCATTGAAGATATCAGTTTTTGAAATTTCAGAATAATTAATGTTTGTACTTAAGTTGTTATCATTAAAGTCTGAAGAAAGATCGGTGGAAGATGTGTTTTTCGTGTAAACAGTTTGGAAGAATTCCTTGAAGAGATTGGCTATGTCCTGGCCATTATGAGCAGACTTGGCACCATAAGAAAAAGCACTGGGCAAACTATGACTTGACCTCTTATCTTGAATATACTTCCAAAAAGACTTAGGGTCTTCCTTCAGTTTGAGATCGATACCCCTAATGTAAACATCAAAACAGTGCTCTGAAAGTTTTTTACATTCTGAACGAAGCTTCGAAAACCTTAAATAATTATCTTCGGAACAATCCTTGATATAGAGGCTGTGAGCATGTTTCTTTTCAACAGTTAGTTTCCTTAACTCAAACGAAAACCACTTTGGAAAAGAAGATGTTTTATACTTTTTTAGCGGCATAAAAAAGGCAATACCAGTAGACAAAATTTCGTAAAATAGATTAGTACTCTCATTAACATCATTTTTACCCAGTAATGTTACCCAATTTATAGAAGACAGATGATTATTCAGTTCTCTATAGTTACCATTACGAAAGTCATAGTAAAATTCATCGTATGCAAGAATCTCATCCTTACAATTATAGGAAATAGATATGACACATTCATAGCTTATGTGATGCATATTTAAATCTAAAAGAGAATCACATGCCCTTCTTACATCTAAGGGTTTAACATTGGAAAAAACTAAATCTAAAAAAACACCTCGATTATTTTGTATGTTATTATGTTGAAAGAGCTTCAGATAGCCAAGAGATTGGGCTACTTCTACTGCTGGATCCCCCCCAGGGCAGTGCACCATTACTCCTAGTTCATCATTATACCACTGATCATTGGGTAAGTTAAAGTACAACAAACAAGTACATGTTGATACCATCATAATGTTGATAAACATTTTCCACTGTTGTACTATGCCAGTTATATGCTTCACGGGAGGATTGTGGTGGTATATATACTCCACCTACTATGAATTTCCTGTTATTTAGTTGACATAAAATGAACAGCTGCTCCACTCTGGTTTCTGTTATACTGATATGTCGCGATTGTACTTTGTCCCTAACAAATATCAGCACACCCCCACCACTAGCTTTTTTACTAGTCATAGAATTTCTGTCACTTCGATATAGACAAAAACCTTGGCAATTGACTTCACTGTCGGAGATAAATTCAGCTAGGTTACTTTCTACCAGGATAATTACATCATACGCACAACAAGCTACTTTTTGTAAGAGATCATTTAATTTGGTTCTTAGCCCTCCTACATTTTGGAAGTAAACGGTTAATGGGGTGCTCGTATGTTTTTTTGTTGCTTGGGCTCAACCACAGGATTCCCATTACGGTACCTTATGATTATATTTTCCTCCCACGCAGCTTTTCTGCTATCAAACAAAGTTTTCACTTTTTTATAAGCCTCCTGTTGCATTGGCGTCTGATCAGTAGAGATCCTAAATTGCGTACCCAGCAGTTTCTTACCAGATTTAATTGCTTGTTTCACAGTGTCAACAGTGCAAACAACCTTAACAGGTCTCGGCTTGGTCCTATTTCCATTTTTGCCCACACGCAGCACTTTACTGATATCATGAACCCCATCACTCAACCCCAGCTTGGCAAATATTTCAGAGACAGTAGATTTATTCGCTGTAATTCGCTCTTCAAGAGTTTGACTCTGGCATATTATAAATCATGAGATTCTGAGCACGACTGACTCGCTGTCCAACTTCATGGACTACGGATTCTAAATTTAACGATTTCTCCCTTTCCAAAACAGCTACTTTCTGTTGCAAGGCTTGTATTTCCTCCTCCATCCTTATCATTTTTCTTGAATTCTTGAACACATGCTAAGATTTTATGCAAATATTTGTGTGTGCAAACCTCATGGCAAATACTACTTTATACTATCTTGAAATCATCATTTAAAAAAATGCTGTTATTTTGTTTTGTATTGTTTTCAACCAAATAGCTCGACCCACTGTTTGCCATCAATAAAAGACCAAAAGCAAAATGGATTATAATTTATATTTTGGAATAATAGTCCTGGTTGTAATGTATGTTATATATAGGACGGATTAAAAATCAAGCAAACATAAAAGGTTGACAACTAACGAGTTTATCAGAGATATGTAAGGGAAATAGAATGCGCTTAGACGACTGCGCATCCGATTTATTGTTAACGCATAGGGGGCCGCCATTTTAATCACTTTTCACAGTTTTTACTTATCTCGTTTTCGATTGGTAGATCTAGTGCAGTTTTTTTTTTATTTCTGTCTTTTTCTTCTACAGGTTGATGAAAATACACTCAATGCGCATTAAATTTACCAATCGAAAACGCTACTAGTTTTTACGTTGACAACTTCAATCTGACAAATTTTTCACAACATAACCTTACTTTTGGTCGGTTACAGATTGTTGTTGTTGGCGATTTTTCCTGCTTTTTCTGAGATATTTTTATCAGAGTGGTGTTTTAAAAGATATCTTTTTGTTATTTCGGCTTATTTTTGGAGTTATGAGCTGTTCATAACTTATTTTTCCAAATCCGAATTTGACAAGTGATAAAAATGGCAGTCCTTCAAATTCGGCCAGTTGCGCAGGATGGACCCTTATTCTATTCTAACCAACAACTCTCCCATATCTCTGGAGTTTATTGATAGAATGACAGTTGACAGAATCGTGTGTTAGGACTGCTTGTCACATACAATAACCAACAATCACGGAACAAACGTATATCACACTGATATTCAGTGGCGTAGCCAGGATTTTGTCTTGGGGGGGGCAAATTTGCAGGAAGTGTTTCTTGCGGACCCACCGCGACCGCTGTTGGAGGCAAAGCGCCGCAGGCGCGAAATTTTTGGGTGCCACGCCTCTTTTTTAGGTTTCTTTACGCTATTTTTGGGACTGTTTATTTTAATTTTGAAGAATTATTCATAAAATTTAAGGGTCTTGGGGGGGGGGGGGCAAATTCACCCTTGCCCCCCCCCCTGGCTACGCCAGTGCTGGTATTGCCCTGTTTCTTCAAATTTTCTATGAACAGTTTATTTTAAAGCCTTGCTAAACCATCTTGGAAAATTTGATAAAAAGGAAGTAGGTAATAAAAGGTAGCTAAACAAGCAGATGTGCTTAGAGATAAATATGCATTTTTATATCTTGTAATGGGTGTTATTCTGCAACAGTGAAGTCAAATTTAAAAGATAGGACAGCAAAATGTACAGAATAAATAGTCCTTTAAAACAAATTATTGCTCAACGCCCTGTCTCATTTAAAAAATTTGGGGTGGTAGCCCTGGTGGTTAGCGGGCTGAAGGGGCGAAGTTCAGCCCTGTACAGGGTGTTTCAAATTCGAGCCACATCATTGGGATCTCGGAAACGATAAGATATACAGGGTTGGTTAAATGGGGGCAAAGTTGTGTAATTTGATGCTTAACAAAATGCCGCTTTGATATTTAGGATATTCCTAATACTTCCGGAGATATCCGGAAAAAAACCGAAATTTTGCAAAATTGTTTTTTTCCTGACTTTATTTGAAGTGATATTCCAAAAAAAATATCACTTCATCATACTCACTTTGTCTTCCCTACAAGATGCTACCATCGAATTTAAAATCTGACGTTTCGTCTTTGGGTCATCATCAACTCAATTTTTTTAAATACGATCATGGATTTTTTATTTCAGATTTTTAGTGCTTCTGAGGTTCCAAAACCTATGACGTATCGCATTTATTCGAAAAAATATTTTGTCTACTTTCTAGTAGTTTCCTATCAAAATGGGCTCTTTCACTAATTTTTGAAATTGGCATATTTGGATAAAGCAACTAAAAACAGAATTTTCTGTATTTTTACTTTTGAAAAATTCATAGTCCTTCTTGAGAAAACAGAAAAAAAAGAAATACCTCCAAATAAAAACCCAGAATTTATTTCTATGACGTCGCAGCTCGCTATTTGACCGTGTTGCCACTAATTGTCAACATTGAAAATTTGTAATAGATTTAATTCTGAAATGTTCGCAAAATTTCATGAAAAGTAGTTAAATTAATTAGTTATGGATTCAAGATTTTATAACATTTTTATTGAAATTATGCTTTATTAGTTTTATTTATTTATTTTACGTTGCACTACATTTAGTCACCACCGACAACAGCGCATTCGAACCTTTACCTGCATTTACTACAGGATAAATACAGCAGAGGCGGACAGCTGTTTGCAACAACAAGCGAAATGAAAAATATTTATGCGACGTCAGCAAATCGGCGCGTTTTTAAATAATTCAAATTTTGGTAGTTTAAAATGCCTGTAAAAAACTTATTTAACCTTGTAGAACATTTTTTTTTGGTATATGTGCCTAAAATAGTCCCTCCTTTGGGACTTTATACCTAAATTACGTATTTAAATTTTAGTGAAAGAGCCCATTCTCCTCTCTGTCTCTCTCTAACACATTTGGTTCTTATGGAAAGTACCAATAATATAAATTTTTTTGAATAAGTGCAATACATCATTGGTTTTGGGATAGCAGAAGCTTGTCAAATCTAAAATAAAAAATGAGGGTCCGTATTTAAAAAAATAAAGTTGATGATGGTGGCCCAAAGACGAAACGTCAGATTTCAAATTTGATGGTAGCATCTTATAGGGGAGAAAAAGTGGCAATGATGAAGTGACATTTATTTTGGCATATCATTTCAAATGAAGTCAGGAAAAAATAAAAACTATTTTGCAAAATTTCAGTTTTTTCCGGATATCTCCGGAAGTTTTCGGGATATCCTGAATATCAAAGCGGCATTTTGTTAAGCATCAAATTACGCAACTTTGCCCCAATTTAACCAACCCTGTATATCTTACTGTTTCCGAGATCCCAATGATGTGGCTCGAATCTGAAACACCCTGTATATTAATATTAGCAGATTTTCTTCCATACATTTTCGGAGCTCGTAGAACTTGTATACCTTCCTATTTTTTTACATGACCTATTAACATAATTACCCCATTTCAAATTTTTCTTTGGAAAATATACTAAAAATAGTTTCTCATTTAAAATTTTATGATCAATTACGCATTTAAATTTTAGTGAAGGAGGTCATTCCTGTAAATTAGTATAAGTCTAAAATATAATTTGGTACAAAAAAGTGATTTGATTACTTAGGCATCATTTTAGGATATGCTCTAAACATTTAGTAACCAATTTTATAAATTTGCTAACAAAATAGGTATCGTTTTTTCTTGCACTAGCCATTGTTCTTGCATCATAGACCCTACAGACCTCAGAGTTATTGAATAAAATAAATGATAGAACTACTAAAATCATCTCTTACCGACTCCATAGGCACGTGCTGAGGGCTATTTTCTTCTGACAGCATATCCAGGCCGTCCATATCGCCATTACTGAAATCCGAATCTCCAGGTTGTCTTATAACTTCAATTGGAGGCATTCTACAAAGCATTATATGTATATATAACACTGATTCAAAATTTCCCAATTACTTTTAGCTAATTTTGGGTTATTATGTATATTATCATCTTGTATACATATTTGAAAAATACCCAAGCCAGAACAAGAGTGTATCTTGGAAAATTGACTCACCTCTCTAGCAATGCTGGTCGCAAATGTTCATATTTTCCAAACAATTGCGAAAACTCAACTCCTCTTTGCTGTAGTTCTATGTGCAAACTCGAACAGAATGAACTAATCATTTGGTGTATTTGACTATAACAACAAAATCAGAAAGATAAAATCAAGAAAAAAATCAAAAGAAGTAACTTACTTTGTTGTACGATTGAATCTGGTACTTAATTTGGTTAGCGACATCAAAGCATATTGTTTGGTTGTGTGCGTATTTTGCGGGCTCCACAGTAACCTGATAAAAGATATGATGAAATATTAAGGATAAATTCGATGGGATTTTTTAAACAAGACACAGGGCGTTGGCCAAAAGCAACCCACAGTGTACAATCACAATGCACGAAGGTACAATGATAATCCCAACCATTAAATAAACAGATACAGGAATGATTACCACACTACTTATGTATTGTTTCTGTATTTTAACACATATACTCTGCATCTGTTAATGAATAAATCGGACAATACTTGAATAAATAATTATCATAAGTGAAATGAAAATATTATATTACAAAATACTACACACCTCAAGCATCAAATTAATCTATTCTATTTGAATCCAGGAAAAGAACGCATTTAATTGCAAGATTATTACTTTTGAAGAAAATTACTTTTGTTAATATCAAAAAACCAATCAGGGTTTGCTGTAAAATCATCTCCTCTATGAAACATTTTTTTTATAAAGATGGATAGTAGGTATTGCATCTCTATTGTCTAGAGTCTAGACTCTAGACCAATTCAATTAATGAACTAATTAATTTGTATCTTAGTGTGTAAGAAGATTGTGTATTGTTATTTATCTCTTTTTTTGTTGTTGTTAGCTCAACCTGCACTGCGTGTTGACAATATTTCTGTTTCTGAATGGCTTGTTTATAAATAAAACATTTTTCTATTTATGAATTTGAAAACTACCTTTGATAAATCTCTAGAACCTGTTCCTCTGTGGGTGGATGTGGAATGTTGTGCTCTTCATCTGGTTGAGCCTCTAAAAGTTGATCTCCATATTCTCCGATCGCCCAAACGGCCACCTGCGTCAGAGGCTGTCTGTTCTGCAAATCTTCTGATAGGGCTTTCCAAAGCTGCAAGCTCACATAAGATTGATGGTTGGTGCTCTCTGATATTAGCTGAATAGTCGAGGATATAACGTCATCGCGCACAGAGTTGCCGGCCTAAAAAATATAATGAATTGTTGTTTTAATGCTGTTCAATATTAAGTAAATGAGATATTAAAAATCTGAGTCAAGGTTTTGGAGGAAATACAAATGCAAAATGGTAATGTTGCTGTTTTCAGGAAACGCATCAAGTTTTTTTCAAAAATACTAGGAGCAAGTCGGCTAGGATTCAAGAATGATATTTTTATTATTAGATTATATGATACTATTGTACAAGGTGTCCCACTAAGGTCGGCAAGGTACGATATTATGAAAACCATAGACCTTATGGGTTCGGGATTTTTTTTTCTTCACTAAATCGGCCAAGAGGAGTTGATAGAAATTATTTTCAAGTTTCTAAGATGACCGCTAGAGGGCGCAATTACGATGATAAAACTAAAAATTCAAATTTTCTCAAAAAATCGCTATATTAAGATACTGTTTTAACAGTAGAAGTCAAAAGTTCATTAATTTTTGCGCCAGTTTGGTTATTAGGCTTTTTTCGTATCTTCACTTCACTAATAAGCGTGGGGGAAGCTCGTGAATCTTCTATACCTTTTATCCAAACGCATTCAATTTGGGCTCATTTGAAAGAGATGAATTTCATTGTTATTATTCTTATGAAATACAGTTAGTGTTTTGTGTGAGAGTTGAAATTTTCGCGGATTGTTTTCGTTTTTCCGGAGATTAATCGTTTTTCTGTTTTTTCTAGGCTAACCTCAAAGTGTCAAATCTCCAACCTTGAACGGTGAACGAACAGTGAATTTGCGGTGAACAGCGAACTGCGAACGGGAATAAAGGAGAGTTGCCGGATTTTACAAGGAAAAATTCGGACTGTTGGTGAAATTTATCTTTTCTTGTTTCTCCAACCAACCTGGCACTTACTACCATCCCGTATTTGTTTGTGCTTATCATTTCAAGGACATGTCAGGGTCAGGAGGAAAATGCATAACACGTAAAATTTCCTGGGTTTTTCGAGAACCAAAAAAGGGAGAGGATGAAATTTTTGGTCACCCCTGTGACAACTGCAGGAAGGTTTATTATAAATTATGTGCCAATTTTAGCACCACTGAAATAAGAGCTCTAATCTTAACAAATCGTGTCCTTCGATATTTTTGCCCCGATTGTATAGCTCCTATTGGAGAAGCCATAAAACTACAAGTTACTAGAGACTAGAATGTCGCAACTCCTCGAAAATACTGAGAAGAACCCAAAAGAAATAGAGGAGATTATTGTGGAGACTAATAGTCCACACACACAAGCAAAGGAACCTGAATCAGGTACAAACAATTGTACAAAGAAGAGGAAACCAAGTACAACCTTAAAAAATAATATCACATTAGAACAGGTTGAAACAGCTGTTGGCGATGCACTTGCATTGGTGCAATCTAATAAATTGAATGAACTAACCAAAAAGCCAACTATTAATAGGCGAATAGCCAGTGACGCTGCCGATGATTTTTGTGGTGAAGAAGAAATGAAGTGGTTGTATATAGGAAATGTTACAATCCAGATTCTGTAAAGGGCTATTTACTTAGAAAATTAGAATTAAACGATGAAAAAGAATTAGTGGAGTAGCAGCTTAATTCAATGGGCGATACTAATGCCTATAAAATTGGAATCAAAAGCAGTCTATATCATACAGTGAATGAAGCACAATTTTGGCCCTCTCATGTAATAATTTTTAGAAGATTTTTCATATGAAGAAATATGGCAGCAACATTTTACCAGAAAAGGAGAGAAACTTCTAATATCAATCGTGAATATCATTCTGATTACACCCGAGACAGATCAACATGGCAAGGCAATACAAGATATAATAGAAGAAATGGAAATTTAGTTAACAATCGAGGCTCTTATCCAGAAATAAATTATGGTCGATATCCTCCGAACAATCGAGGCAATTATCAAAATCGTAGACACAATAATTTAAACATGTAAAAAACTGACCAGCGTGTTTTAGTTCATACATGCAGAACGTTAGAGGACTACGCACAAAACTGAAAAAATTAGAACTATCTGTGGAAAGGCAAGAGTATGATATAATAGTCCTAGTGGAGACATGGTTGAAAGGTGATATTTTTGATGGTGAATTGGGTATGTCTAATTTTATTGTCTATATATGTGATAGGTTTAAGGCTACAAGCGATTGCGACCGTGGAGGTGGTGATGATAGCTGTAAAATCGATTTATACATCAAAAAGGATTATTAGTAAGTTAGAGAATATTGAGTACATCTTTGTAATTGTAACAATAGATAAAATGAAAATATTGTCATGTGCAGCTTATCTGCCCCCTCAACTTAGCATTAACCATTATGAATCTTTGTCCTTGACAATTGACAAGCGATTGTAATTATACTCGGATATGGCTACATACTTGAACCTAAAATAATGTAATATTATTCCAAATAGTTATGGTGGATTTGTGGACCTTATTTTTTCTGATTATGATCATATTTCTGTTGCAACAGCTGAGGTACCATTACTTAATTGTGATGCTTATCATCCAGCACTTAAGTGTGAATTGTCTCTTGATTTTGAAAGTATGAGAGAACAGCTGACTTTAATTATGAATATTATGACTTTAAGAATGCTAATTTTCACAGTCAAAACTATTTTATGAGTTCACCTGATTGGGATGCACTATTAGACTTGAACGATGTTGATTTGATTTTGGATACTTTTTATGGCATTATACAGTGTGCGCCATAAAGTTGGGTACAATATGGGAAAATTCTTAATTATTCCTTTTTTCAAAAAACTTTTTTTGGGGATCGTTAGGGCATGTTCGATAACCAAAAAATCGATTATGACACATGTCATGCGGATATCGGATTAGCGGGAATTTTGAAAAAAGTTGATATTGATGTCGACAAACAAGTAAATTTGGCAAGATATCAAAAAATTTTATAAGAAAAAGTTGTTCAGAATCCAAAAAGAACTCCACATGCCGATTTTGAAGCATATCAGAGAGAAAAAAATAAAACTACTTATCTTACCCATCGAAAATATTAATTTTATTTCAAAAATAGCTTTATTCAACTAAACTACATAAGTTTGATATCAAACGAATCGATTGTTTTGCGGAATACACACTTGAAGGTCATAAATTAGAAAATACCGTCCGGTCGTGTCGCTATAACTGTACCCATGTCCCTTTTTGCACATTTCTTGGGCATCAGAAAAATAACATGACATGTGTCATAATCGATTTTTTGGTTATCGAATGTGCCCTAACGATCCCAAAAAAAAGTTTTTTGGAAAAAGGAATAATTAGGAATTTTTCCATATGTACCCAACTTTATGGCGCACACTGTATATGAAGCATTTCATTGTTTTGTTCCTATGCGTAGGTCAACGAAACCTAAATTTCCTCTGTGGTACTCAAATGAGTTAAAAAATCTTATATTTGAAAAGAAAATTGCATATAAAAAATTGGAAGAGTCTGGTTTTCAGAAAACTTAGGAGTTTTTTTCCCAATTAAGATCTCAATGTAAAGAAATGTCCATCTTATGGTATCAAGAATGTACAGGGTGACAATTTTAAAAGTAGCAATCAGGAATATCTCTTAGACAAAAAATACTATTAGGAAGATCTCAAATACGTATCGGGGGATTGGAGGGGGAACCAAAATGAGGCACTTTTTGAGTCACCCCGCCTCACCCCTTAGGGGGTAGCTACCCCAACTTTCTTTTTTCAAATACGAACCTACCTTGTGTTGCACATCGTTTGATAGCTCGTTGCTATCCCTTTACAGGCATATAGCAAAATCTTAAATCGGACGATTAGTTTTTGAGATATTGGTGTTTGAAAGTGAGCATATTTTGGAAATTAGCAATTTTGACTATCTCATAGACAAAAAAATTCTATCAATTAAGTTTCGAATACACATCGGCGAAACCAAATAATGTGTTTATCGTAATTCTATCTGCTTCCGCACGTCTCTAAAGACGAATAAATAACCTTTTTAAGGAGCTATCACACGGGGTAGGTTCTCATTTTAGAAAAATTATTGAGTGGCTAGCACCCAAGATAAGGGAGTGGGGGTAAGGCAATAAACACATTTGGTTGCCCCGATGTGTATTTGACACTTTTATGACAGAATTCTTTTGTCTAAGAGATAGTCAAAATTACTAGTTTTCAAAATATGCTCATTTTTAAACATTGATATATCAAAAACTAAGCGTCCGATTTAAGATTTTGCTATATGAATGTAAAGGGATAGCTACGAGCTATCAAACGTTGTGCCTTACAAGGTAGGTTCGTATTTAAAAAAAATAAGTTAGGGTAGCTACTCCCTCAGGGGTGAGGCGGGGTGACTCAAAAAGTTCTTCATTTTGGTTCCCCCTCCAATCCCCCGATACGTATTTGAGATCTTCCTGAAAATTGTGAACAATTTTAATTTTAATATAAAAACAATTGAATGACTTTTCCGGTTTTACTGGAAATGGCAGTTTTTACGTAAAATACAAACAAATAGGAATTACGACATATTTTTGAGCCACTCTATTTCAAAAACCATCAATTTTTGATATAGTGTATGTTAGACAAAAGTTATTTAGAATTGTTCAGAGAGTCCAAAAAAAGATAATATACAGGGTGTCCCATTTAAAATAATAAAGTCAATGCCATTTCCGGTGAAACCGGAAAAGACATTCAATTGTTTTTATATGAAAATTGTTTACAATTTCCAACCCTATCAACAAACCGAGTTGCATATTTCTATCTCGAGCCGTTAAGAAATGCCGCCGTGGGTAGTAGTTTCATTGTCACCCGGTATAATGAGGATATTGGTGGTAATATAGATTTTAAGGATACTCATTTGGTACTATACTATAAGAATTAGCGAGATGGAAGTTTTTAATGCAATCTCAAATTTAAGTGGTAACTTAAGTATGGGACCAGATAACGTCTCTGTCCTATTCTTGAAGAGTTGTAAGTATATTTTATCTCATGTACTATGTTTAATTTTTAATAGGTCATTGTCCTTGGGTAAATTTCCAGCATTTTGGAAAG